CCAATGTTTACAAAATGTGCCTATATGCATAGCATCCTGGAACACTGATTTCACTTAAAGATTTTAAAAAATATTATTTTAATGTTATTTTATTATTTAAAGACAAATCTTACGGAGAAGAATACAAAATTTACATTAACTACAAAGAAAAATATGAGTCTTTTGCTCATGACTGACTTCCCAGGAATCCTGCACCCCAGCTGGAAGATGCTAAGATGCCCAAGGACATGACCTCAGGTCCAATTCACACAGATCTCCACCTTTTCCTATAGTGAGTCATGAACCAGAAGTGACATGGTCCCCTCCTAGCAAATCAGGGTGGAAGAACACTGGTCCAGGATAAACCAGTCAACTACACAGTGAGCACGTAGGGCTATCTCCAAGCCTTGCTTGCATGTTCTGTCTTTCTGAGTTGCAAGTCATCTTGTGGCCGACTCTTCCAAAATTATCTCATTTCCAATTCTCAGGAAAACACACTCCTATTTCTAGGAAATCTGCTCTATGTCAAATCTGAGATGTTTAGCCAGGTCAAAGTTGTTTTCCTTACTCTCTCTCCATTGTGACCTCCTGCCACTTCTGGGGTCACCTTCCAAAGTCGGATTCTGAGATGCGAACTAGAGCTGATCCCATCCATTTACCTTTGCTGCCTGGGCCTTACTGGACTCAGATCTGTGGGCTCCTCTTAGCACAGGTCGACCTGGGCTGAGAACCAGATCTCCTATGTTCATTTTCTCATAAGAAAAATAAATCAATCACCATATTAGCTAATTTCAGTATTTGATATATAACAGAAAAATGGTAGCAGTGACCATCTCTGAATGGTGGGAATATAAGTGGTTTATATTTCCCTCATTTTGCTTACCTATATTTTCTCATTTTAAACAATGAGCATGCATTATTTGAGTATAGACAATGAAAAAAATGTAAATGCTAACATTCCTCTCATTTAGCTGTTTCCTGATGATTTTACATTTTGAATTCAAGCTCAATATTCAAAGCAGAAGGTCACAGAATGTGTTTCATAGGATAAAAGACTAGAAATCCAATAGCCCCTTTATCCAGCTGAACCAAATTTCAGTTTAGACTTAGGTTTACAAGATCAAATGAAATTGCTTTTGAGGTAGAGTTATTTATCCAATGTATCTGGCATATGGTTAAGGTTATCTTCTTATGAATCAAAATCACAAAACTAAGAAACTGCTGGTGAGGTAATAGAAAACAAAATTCAAAGCCATGGCCTTGGGAGATCACATTATTCTCCAAAACACCTTAGAAACCTGAGTAGGTGACATCAGATATGAAACTGTACTCATAATTCATTCAACAAATATTTGCATATTTCCAGCCACCATCGTAGGCATTGGGGATACAGAAGCAAACAAAACTAGCAAAAGTTCCTGTCCGCATGAATCCTGTATTCCAGTCAGAATACAAAGGAGACAGAAAATTCCCATGCGGCCCTAGCTGGTTTGGCTCACTGGATAGAGCATCGGCCTGAGGACTGAAGGGTCCCAGGTTCAATTCTGGTCAAGGGCATGTACCTTGGTTGCAGGCACATCCCTAGGAGCGGGTGTGCAAGAGGCAACTGATTGATGCTTCTCTCTCATCGATATTTCTAACTCTCTATCCTTCTCCCTTCCTCTCTGTAAAAAATCAATAAAATATATATTTTAAAAACGAAGATTCCCATGCAGCAATCCAATCCTTTGCATAGTATTAATCATGTTGTTTTGACTATCATCCTGCCACTTTTCTTAGAGAAGAACTTTCTAATAATGCCCTTCTAAAACTAGTGATTGGGCCGATTATTTCTTGACATAACCCTGCCAGAAGTGGGCAGAATGGATGGCAGTACTTGTAGAATTGGAGAGCTACCTAGCCATGACCTTCTTGCAGCAATGATCCTAAGGCAGGGATGGACAAACTTTTTGACTCGAGGGCCACAATGGGTTCTTAAACTGGACCGGAGGGCCGGAACAAAAGCATGGATGGAGTGTTTGTGTGAACTAATACATGTTAACACTGCTGCTGGTGAAGGAGCGGAGGGGGGAGCAAGAGAACCCTCCGCTCTTTCAGCTCCGCGGGGTGGATAGAACAGCCTAACGGGCCAGATCCGGCCCGCGGGCCGTAGTTTGCCCACGGCTGTCCTAAGGACTTTGTTTATACAAAATGGTCCAGATGTTCCCATAGGAAGAAGCTGAAGTGTCCCCGATCATTAATAGAGACCTGAGCTGGAAGACTGGGAGACCAGGAACTGTCATGGTAGGCGATGGGATATACAGAAATAGGAATAGGACTGACTTAGGGCAACACAGATTTTAGCTCTATGTGAGGGAAAACATTTCAACAGCCAGAGCTGCCCCACAATTGAATGGGTTGAGGGAGAGGCAGTTTTCAGGCTCTTGGGGGTGGATGACCAGCCCAGCTCTGCCACTTACTGGTTATGTGACGTTGGGCTAGTCCCATAACCACTCTGGGCCTCAGTTCCCCTGCCTGTAAAATGGGAATTATAATGGTACCTTATATATGGTACTTTTATAAATAGTATCTTATAAATAGGATTGTGGTGATTGTTAAATAAGAGAAAGTATGTACAGTGTCAGGGTACTTAAAGTGCCTGACCCAGAGTAACTTAGACACTGAAAAGCTATCTAGATCAGATGATAAAGTTTAAGAACTTGTCTTCTATGCTGTTTTTATAGTGGATTTGTTTTGACTTGATATCAAAACAATATTATATACAGTCGTATTTGGCAAGAAGATTAAAATTGGTAGTTGAGATCTTAACATCACAAAAATCTGTGGCTATGGCAGGGATAGAACCTACACTTCTATGAGGAACCCTCTGAACAATGCTACCACATTTCTGATATGACTGTGGTCCAGGCCTGATACATTATCCCTGGCTGATCTGGACACATCATGATCTTGGTCCTCCTTGGAGGTACACCAGGGCACTGGGATCAGGCCAGCACCAGTGTTTGGTGTATACTTGAATCACGGAATTGCTAAGGCAGGAGCACCATGACCCTATACCAGTGGTCAGCAAACCACGGCTCATGAGCCACATGCGGCTCTTTGGCCCCTTGAGTGTGGCTCTTCCATAAATTACCACGTGTGTGTGCGCACGTACAGTGCGATTGAAACTTCGTGGCCCATGCGCAGAAGTGGGTTTTCAGCCCGGGCGAGTCTGTTCTGAAGAAATAGAGGACGTTTTTAGCAAAGGCCAGCTTAGGAGGACCCTAATTAAATTAATAACAATGTACCTACCTATATAGTTTAAGTTTAAAAAATTTGGCTCTCAAAAGAAATTTCAATCGCACTGTTGATATTTGGCTCTACTGACTAATGAGTTTGCCGACCACTGTCCTATACACATACCCAGAACGGCTTCCCCTGCGGTAACCTGGGGTTTAAGATAAGATGTCCCCAGAGAAGCTGTGCTTAACGCCACAAAACTCCCAAGGGCTATTACTGACCAGGGCAGCAGTGCCATCTCAGCCCCACTCTGGGATACCCAGGGCTGGTAGACTCAGATGGCAGCATGTGACAGGACTCTGGAGGTACAGTCCGGGCTGAACTAGAGCCAAGCCATAGTTCAGTGGGACAAGGGCAGCCCAAGATGGAATCCCAACCTACTCATAATCCCTCTCGTGGTTCCAGGTGTGGGGGGCCTATCCAGGTTTCCTCTTCCACCCCGGTGAGGGCATCGCAGGAACAGCTGCACAGCCCCAGGTGAACTGCTTTACAGTCCCGCCCCACCCCACCTCCTGGCCCTGGCTGTTGGTAATGGCCCACGGGTAGGAGGGGCAAGCAGCCAATCCATTTATGTGTGCCCAGCAGGCCTTCTGGCAGCTGCCATCCCCACATCAGATGCCTTAGGGTCAGAGGTCAGTCTTTAACTGTGGAGCCAGTGTCCACCACTCAGTTCCTACCGGCATCCCCTCATGCCGGCCAGCTTTCCAGGCATGCCTAGACCCATCTGAACTCCTAGCAGGTAGAGAAACCAGGCTTATTTCCCCCTACTCTCCTTACACCCACTACTTAGAAATCAAAATCCCAAACAATCATATCTTGTATGTGTGTGGTGTTTCGCACTTTTCCATTTACTTTTCATATCCTGCATGTATTGGTTAGAATTTTTAGTTGTAAGCAAAAGTAACTAACTTTGGCTGATGTGCACAGCAAAGAACATAAATGAAAAGATAGTGAGTAGCTCACAATATCTCCAGGAAGGTAGAAAATCAGGTTTGGAAGCACACAATCAAGAACACTGTCCCAAACTCCAACTCAGCAGTAGTCTTAGAAGACATCGTTGTGACCACTGAGTCTGGCCTACCATCCCTGCCACCTACACCACAGACACCTTCTGAGGGATGCTGTCCATGGAACTCTCACTGGAAACTGAGAAGATACCCATCAAAGCACTAAAAGGGGTGCAAAGCAGACCCTCCTTTTTTGCTGTCACTGGCTTCCAATTCAAAATTGGTGAGGAGTGGCATCGGGGAGAGAGAGCTTGTTGGATTGGAGGAGCCTGAGGCTCAGGCTGATGCCCAGGCCTCGCTGCAAAGGGGTGGTTCCACCTCATGAGACGCGGAATCCCTCAAGCACAGGAAGGGGGCTCAGCTGCCAGGCAACCAAAATGAGTGACAAATGTCCAACTTTATCTCATTTGATTATCACGCCAGCATGTGAAGTTGTCAGACTGACTCTTATTGTCTCCATTTTAGACAGCAGGAGTGGGACCGGGGCAGCCTCTCTACCAACATTGAAAAAAAAAAAAATAAGGAGAAAAGCAAAGTCTTGTTTTCAGGTTTTAAAAGATCAACTACAGAAATGCGGGATGAGAGGAAGTAGGTTTGGCTGCAGGTCCACATAAAGGTCTTAGAATTTCAGCTGACTTTAAGTTTCATATGAACCCAGTTGAAGAGGCTGCTGATGTGGCCAGTGCAGACTTGTGTATGGGGCAGTGTCTTTGCCACCAGGCCTGCCAGACTTACCTGGAGTTGACCATTCTAGTCATCTATTTGCAGAGATGAGCAGCAAAGGCAGGGAGGTTCTGTAACATCTGGTATGTGGGCTCTGCTGCTTCAGAGGGCAGGAATGGGGCCAGATAGGAGCCACGATGACCAGAAGCTAGTTCAATACCTGTAGAGCAGGCCAAAAACAAGGCAAGCTTCCATGAGATGGCGAGGTCCTCACTGCCAGGCTATGCAAGCAGAGGCTAGAAAGCCATCTATCAGAATTTCCACTAAACTAGATGATGAATGCAGGCCCTTCCAACTCTAAGATGCTATAAACCTCCAATGTGCGCTGCAGACATTGGGCATGATCTACAAGGTAGGGCAATGGCCCTCCAAGAGCCTCCTGGCAACCTACTGAACTAACCAGTGACAAAAGAAGAAAACAAAAAAAAATGTGCATTCTTAATAGACATCAATTATAAATAAAAGGAAGGGTCATGTTATACTCTGCATTAGCCAAAACTGAAAGTAATATCTAATGCTGGAGAGACTGTGATGAAGGAGGGACATTCATGCTGGCAACTGGGCAAAATGGGTACCGCCCTTTTTGAAATCAATATGGCAGATGGTATAAAAACACCAAAACCATGTTTAACCCTTCAACCCAATAACTGTTCATTTGGGAATTTACCTTAAAGAATAATTTGTAAAGGGTAATTGCTATAAACTTGGAGTATTTCATTACATTATTTTAAGTAATAAAAAGTCTTAACTAGGGGCGAGGTTAAATATAGTGTGATATTTGATGGAATATTAGGCAACCATTACAGATTGCATTTATAAAGAATCTCTGTTCCTTGAGGGCAAGTCCTGTGTCCCGTTTACCACTATAGACCAAGTACTGTCTGGAACATAGAAATGCCTCATTAAATATTCATTGACTAAATGAGTGAATGAGCAACTGAACAAATGAATTCAATCTTAGCAAGGGAAAATGCTTATAACATGTGATGTTAGAAAAATAAAAGCAGAACTCAAAATCATATCTACACTATGATTTCCATAATGTGAAAGGTTATATACACGTGTCCTACATGAGGACTGTAATGCAGAAAAATAAAAAATAAATGTTAGGGTCACCTACTATGGATTATGTGTTATTCTTATTCATTCAACATGTTTCACTGAGCACCTGCTATGTATAGGTGCTGTGCCACATTCTGTGCGTACAGCAGTAAACAAAATAGACAAAATATCTACCCTAATGGAGAGTTTATTCTAGTGGATTACTGGAGGAGTAATAGTGGGGAAGAGACAGAGCATAAACAGATAAGAGAATATATAAAATATCAGATGATAATACTGGAGGGTAGTGAGTGCTAAGAGAAGAAAAGCTGCCATTTAAATTTTTTAAATTTTTATTTATTTTTTAAAGTATGTTACTATTTATGTATTTATTTATCTATATTTGTATTTTTTTAATTGATTTGAGAGAGAGAAGCATTGATCACACCAGGGATCAAACCCGCAACGTGGGTATGTGCCTTGACCAGGAATCGAACCAGTGACCTTTCAGTGTATGGGGCAATGCTCCCACAAACTGAACCACATTGGCCAGGACAAGGCTGCCATTTTATATGGACTATCCATGAGGATATCTAGGGAAAAAGCTTCAAAGCAGAGGGAACAGCAAGTGCAAAGGCCCTGAGGCTAGATGTACTTGAGGCAATCAAGGAACAGCATGGAGGGTCAATGTGCTGCAGCAGTGGGAACCTCCGGGATGAGGCAGAGAAGCTACAGGAGTCCGTGTATAGGACCCTATAGGCCAGTGGGTCTCAACCTTCCTAATGCTGCGACCCTTTAATACAGCTCCTCATGTTGTGGTGACCCCCAACCATAAAATTATTTTCGTTGCTACTTCATAACTGTAATTTTGCTACTGTTATGAATCGTAATGTAAATATCTGATATGCAGGATGTATTTTCATTGTTACAAATTGAACAAATTAAAACATAGTGATTAATCACAAAAACAATATGTAATTATATTTGTGTTTTCTGATGGTCTTAGGCGACCCCTGTGAAAGGGTCAATTGACCCCCAAAGGGGTCGCAACCCACAGTTTGGCGACCCACAGGTTGAAAACTGCTGCTATAGGCCATCCTGAGTGCTTTAGGTTTTGTTTGCAATGAGACAAAGAAGCCACTGGAGAAATTTGAGTAAAGGTGTGAAATGATCTGACTTATGTTTTAAAAGAACAAACCCTTATATAAGAATATTTATAAAAGTTTGAGATGAAAGGAAGACTTTTAAACATGGACAGATTATCACAACATTCGTGAATTGATTCACAAAATATTTCCTGAACACCCACTGTTCCAAGGGGCTGGAATAGCAGGCTTGTTTTAAGATTACAAAGATTTATCACCACACAGAAATATTTTTAAATAACATCGCCTTTTTTTAAAGACAGAAATTGTTCAGAGCAATTAACTGATTTTATCCTTTTTTTCTTTGGAAATTATGGGGATCATTTTTCTCAATTAACATTTAGATACACATTTCATATTCTATATCAAGTCCCATAATTCTGAACTAAGCTGCTGTTTGGGAAATCCTAAAGTTGGCTGCTTATTTGATTTGTCTTAAATATCTCACGCACAACACTTCTGCAGCATTACTCACAATCCAACCTTACTGATAGGAGACCCTTGTGGGAAGTCTGTCTGTGCTGGCAAGATTATCTGAAAAACTAATAAAATCCTTGTAATCCTTTTCAAGGATGCAGAAAGGAAAATGGCTGCATTTCAAATTCATGGCATTTCAAAGGCATGAATTAAGCTCTAAGCTCTGCATTTGAAAAAAATTAACACAAGCTCTCTAATTTATGTTCTAAACTGAGAAAACAAATCATTGCTAAGAAATGAAATCTGCAAAATTCTCAAACACATTTTCTAGTTGATATGCACATATTTAAATCTACACACTACACCAAAATATAAATTGTAAGAATCACTACCCTTGAACTTGGTTGATACAACTGCACTATGAAATATGGAAATGTCTTTTGTTTGGTTAATTTTATTCCTAGACATCCTGCCTTTTAGGTGTGTATAAAACTAATCATTTTTAGATGATGTTGAGATAATACTTCTGTAAAAATGTATGAGAAAGCTCATTGGTTCTCTTTCTCCTTGATCCTCATGACTTGGGTAAGAAAACTTCTTCTTAGTTCCCCAACATCTTGATTTCTGTGACACTCGTGTCAGAGGGCTCTGCGCCCTACCCCTACTCCTTGTCATCATCTGTTAACTTCCCACTCACTGTACAAGTTGGCATAGAGTCCACTAGGGGTCCTTCTCCCCTTCAAAGCAGCCAACTTTCTGGGAGAGCTTGTGTTTTAATCCCATGAGTTTTCTGTCCAATCCAGCCACCCTGACGCCGCCCTTGACCAGAATTCCTTCACCTCTGACCAGTCTCGACTGCCTTTCCTACTCTTTCCTCCCACCCATCATATCTATCCTCTCCCTCCACTGAGAACCCCACCCCTCCCATCTGTCCATTCCATCCTGGCTCCACCTCCTTCCTCTTGTGGACCACCACTTCCACTTCCTTGCTTTCTAGTCTCCCTTGTCCAACAAAGCTCAGCCCTGGATCAGCCACACCAGTAGCCTTCTCTATGTCTATTTCAGGTCTGATGAGATGCTAGAAAAAAGCCCACAACCACACAGGTTATCTTGGGAGAATGCCTTAATATGTGTGCCCCCAACTTCAGCAGGCTCTCACCACTGCCCTTCAGTCTCTGTAGGTGGCTATTAGCTTTCCCTCCTTGTTTCCACAGTGGCCATCTTGAATATTTTCCTCCTTCTATAAGCTTCCCACGGACCTACCAACCTACTGACTTAACTGCATCTCCAACTCCGCCTTCCTTTCTCTCCTCCCATCTGAGAGGAAACCTGGGCCCTCCTCATGCTTGAGACTCACTCTGAACCCTCTCACTTCCCACTCTCCTACTGGACCTCTCTGCATCCTTCAATCACTCTCTTTCCTGTAACCTCAACTAACTTTCCCCCACCAGCATTTTTAAATGTCCTTTTCTCTCCCAATTTAAAACAAAATTGTCTCTCAACTCTACATCCTCTGTTTTTCTCCTTCCTCTCCTTCAAAACAACTCCCAAGAGTTATCTATACCCACTGCCCATGCACTTAGACTTCTGTCCCTGCAACTCCACCGAACCTCTCCAAAGTTGCCAAGGACCTCTTGGTTACTAAACTTGGTGTTCACTTGTTCAGACGTTGGCTGACTTGACCATTCTGCACCATGTGACCTCACTTCCTCCATTTGGCTTCTGTGGCATACCATTTTTTGGTTTTCCTATCTTTCATTCTTTTTTAAAAAAATAATTCTTTATTGGAGAAAGTATTACATATGTCCCCCTTTCCTCTCCATTGACTCTCTCCAGCCCACCCCCACCCCCTGCCCCAGGCCCTCACCACCCCATTGTCTGTGTCCACGGGCCATGTATATATGCATACAAGGTCCTTGGTTGATTACCTCCCGCTCACCCATCCTCCCCGCTTTCCCTCCAAGATTCCGCACTCTGTTCCATGCTTCCACGTCTCTGGATCCACTCCAATCATCAGTTTATTTTGTTACTTAGATTCCACGTATGAGTGTGATCGGATGATACTTGTCTTTCTCTGACTCATTTTACTCAGCATGATACTCTCCAGGTCCCTCCATGCTGTCTCAAAGGGTAAGAGATTCTTTTTCACTGCTGCATAGTATCCCATGGTATAAATGTACCACAGCTTTTTTATCCACTCATCTACTGATGGGCACTTGGGCTGTTTCCAGATCTTGGCTATTGTAAATGGTACTGCTATGAACATAGGGGTGCATACGTTTTTTTCTGATTGGTGTTTCGGATTTCTTGGGATATACTAGTATTCCTAGAAGTGGGATCACTGGGTCAAATGGCAGTTCCATATTTAATATTTTGAGGAAACTCCATATTGTTTTCCACAGTGGCTGCATCAGTCTGCATTCCCACCAGCAGTGCACTAGGATTCCCTTTTCTCCATATCCTTGCCAGCACTTGTCATTTGTTGATTTGTTGATGGCAGCCATTCTGACAGGTGTGAGGTTATACCTCATTGTCGTTTTAATTTTCATCTCTCTGGTGATCAGTGATTTTGAGCATTTTTTTCATATGTCTCTTGGCCATCTGTATGTCCACTTTGGAGAAATGTGTATTTCGGTCCTTTGACCATTTTTTAATTGGACTGTTTGTCTTCCTTCTGTTAAGTTGTATGAGTTCCTTATATCTTTTGGATATTAACCCTTTATCAGATGTATCATTGCCAAATATGTTCTCCTATACAGTGAGCTCCCTTTTCGTTTTGTTGATGGTTTCTTTTGCTGTGCAGAAGCTTTTTATTTTGATGTAGTGCCATTTGTTTATTTTCTCCTTAGTTTCCTTTGCTCTAGGACCGTGGTCAGCAAACTGCGGCTCGCGAGCCATATGCGGCTCTTTGGCCCCTTGAGTGTGGCTCTTCCTAAGCCTTAGAAGTACCCTAATTAAGTTAATAATACAACATCCATAAAATTAAATCATGACAATGACTGACAAACACTAATGTGAACAATGGCCTTGCATCTCCTTGGAAAGTTTGTGTAAGTCAGGTTTGTATGTTGTTGCCCGCATGTGGTATTTTGTGGAAGAGGCACACTCAAGGGGCCAAAGAGCTGCATATGGCTCGTGAGCTGCAGTTTGCCGACCACGGCCCTAGGAGATGTACCTGTAAACATATCGCTACGAGAGATATCTGTTTCCTCCTCCTATCTTTCTGACTATTCTCTCACTTTTCCTTTTAGGCCCCTCTTCCTCTACCTGTTCCAAAAATGTTGGTATTTCCCAAGGGAGTTTGGTCTTCTCTTTGACCCTCTCTATTGAAGGAATTCATCCATTCCCATGGCTTCAATTATGATGTATATGTTGATAACATGATAACTTAAGAGTTTCTTCAGATCAGTTCTCTCAAGGATGACAAGTTCTCAAGATCAGTCTTTTTGGGTTGAATTAGGTTCAGAGTAATAGTTCCCCTAGTTACTTCTTCGGCCATGAATGAATTATTCCCATATATTAAGGCATTTTCCCAAGATAAGCTCCAAATCACCTACTAGACATCTCACCTGGATGTCTCCCACTCACCTCAAACTCATCTTCTCCTCTTCCTGCCTAAACCTGCTCCTTTACTATTCCGCATTCACAGGAAAACACCACCATCCACCCACCTAGCTTTCTAAGGCAGACATCTGGGCATCATCCTTGACTCACCACTCCTCCACACCTTCAACTCATCACTCACAAAGTCCTTTGAATATTTACTTCCTTATACATCTCAGATCCACCCCCTCTTTTACATCTTCATAGTAATGATGCTGGATCACTTTTGACCTACATCCCAGACTCATCTTCTGACCTTTCTCCACACAGGCCCCTAGACCGTTTTCAAAATGCACATTTCCTTAAAAACTTTCATTATCTTTAGAATAAAACTAGAGTCCTGATGCACAAAATTCGTGCAAGAGTAGGCCTTCCTTCCCCTGGCTGCCGGTACCGGCTTCCCTCTGGCAACCAGGACCCAGGCTTACCTTGCAGCCCCAGCTTCATCTGGAAGGTCGTCCGGAAGGACATCTGGTCTATTTAGCATATTACACTTTTATTATTATAGATTATATTCCTCAGTCTGGTATACCAGGCTCTTTGGGACCCAGCCCTGGTTAATCATTCCAACCCCATGTCTGAGATTCAGCATTCTGGTTAATCCCCTAATTAGAAGACCTATGGAACTTTACTGAGACCTTTCCCCCCCTCTAACAAAATTTGAAACTCTAGCTTTAAGCAGCTAGAATTCTATTCTCTTAATGTTCTCTGCTCTAAATCACCTCTAAAAAATGACAAATATATATATTTTGCTTAATCCTCACCCAAGGTCATTTTCCAATGATTTTTAGAGAGAGTGGAAGGGAAGGGGAGTGACATAGAGAGAGAAGCATTGATGTGAGAGAGACACATCAATTGGTTGCCTCCCGTATACACCCCAACCAGGGCTGGGGATCAAACCTGCAATTGAGCTACATATCCTTGACCAGAATCAAACCCACAACCCTTCAGTATGCAGGCCATTGCTATATTCACTGAGCCAAACTGGCTAGGGCCAAAACAAATATATTGAGCATATACCTAAACGAAGTCATACCTGACCAAAGTCAACTAACAAGAGAATGGTGGTTTGAACTCAGATTACCAAGGGCATTACCTCCTGCCTGTTTATTCACAGCCAAACCAATTTCTGATAATGCAAGATAAAAAATGTGGAACCAGATTAATATTTAAGTGCTTGATATTTATGTTTTACATAAGGCATCTCACTTATCCATTACAACATTTTCAAGTAAGCAAACTGCAGATCTGAGAAGGTTGTGCAAGGCCACACAGCTAGTAAATAGATTTGAATTCCCCCACCTCAACCTTATTAGCTGCTTCCTAACACCAATAAATTTCATTTTACAACGGACGAAACAGGTCCAGCCCAGGATCACATATCAAATCAGAGGCAAAGTTAGAACTAGAATTCAGGTTTCCTGACTCTAGTTGGCTGAGCAGATGCTAGTGTAAGAAGATTGGTGGAACCCAACTTTCCCCCTATTTGTAACAAATTTCTGAAAACTAGTACTACTCCTGAAGGACTAAATCGACCTCTAGAGTTTCAGCTGTGGCTCCAAAACCTCTGCTGATACTGTGCTAATGCCTGCCCTGTGGCGTAGTCCTACCCTTACCCACTTTTCCAACAGCCTCTACCCTCACTGCATCCACAGAATCAGGCTTCAGGACAAATCCCGTTTCCCCCTGCCTCCTTCCAGTTCTCTATCTTCAGTAATGAGGTCCCATCTATTCATCCAGCTCCAATGGCTTTCCCTCATGGTTGACCCAGCATCAAAGCCCCTCTGCCATGCCTCTTAGAGGTCATGGGTTCTTCCCTAAATGCCATCCATTTTATTCTCTCCCTCATGCTAGCCTTCTTTCCCTGGATGTCATCAACTCAAGGATGACAGAGTTACCTTTGCTCAGGCTCTGTCTTTTTGGTTTAAATCAGGTTCAGGCTAATAGTCCCCCTGGTTACTTTTTATTCCACAAATTATTCCCATATTATTAAGGCATTCTCCCAAGAATGCTTTAGCTGAAATACACCCAAAATGCCTGGGTAAAGTGACATATGAAGCATGTGTGGGATTAATTGTGCTATTTAGCCAACACCAGGGCCCTGAATGGGGAAAGATTCAGAGAAGATGCTACTTGGCAAGGTGGGACATCACCACCAAGGCCCCATGAAGCTGAACAGAGGGTTGAAAGATGGGCAGGAATCTCAGACCGTCTTTACTTCTGGGTCAGAAGATCTTTCCCAGAAAGAGGGTGGAGTGTAGGGCATTTAGGCACAGAAAGGAGAAGGGCCATCAACCAAGAAAAAAAAAAAAAAGGAACAAGAAGAACTGGTGACATTTAGGAGAGAATTCATAGGACTTCCAAGGAAAAGGCATGAATTTATCACTCCCTAGGGTCAAAGGGCTGGAGAAGGGCCCTCCAGCATTCAGGCAAAATTCCAACCCACTGTAAAAATGACATAAACATTTCTTCAAACACCTGGCATCCCTCTAGTTGAACACTTCCAGCACTGGGGAACACCCAAGCTTAGAAAATCAAGTTTATGAAGGCATGAGTGAAACTCAATTAAAGTTCAATTCATTTGCAATTCAACAAATATCTATTGAGTGCCTACCATGTGCCAGGCACCATACTGCAAGTATGAATAATATAGACATGGCCCCTGCTCTGTGGGTCTTATAATCTAATGTGGAAGATAGACAGATAAACACGCAAGTAGAACAGGGCAAGGAGAGGGCGCTGCTCAAACGTAAGGTGGGGTTACCGAACACGAAGGCAGGCATCTAGGCTGGGCTTGAAGAGTCTAAAGAGTTAGCTACATGCAAGGTGGAGGGGCCCACGGGAGTAACAGAAAACGGGTTCTTAAGGCGTCTCTGCTTCCCAAGAAGTTCAGTGTTGCAATAAGGTGGAGTCCTGGCTGCCACCAGAGTGTAAAGCCATATTTCTCCCGGAACCCTTCTCATCTGGGAGGCTAGTTCTTGGAGGGGAGACCTGGGAATATCCGATGCCAAAGGTTAAAAAAAAAAAAGAAAAAAGGAAAGAAAACGGAGTCCAGATCTTGAAGCGTTTTTCAAACGATGTGGAGGAGTGTGGGTTTCATGCCTGAGGTAATGGGAAGCCTGTGAAGGATTTTAAGCAGGAAAAGCGCCCTCTGGCTACGCGAAGGGAGGCGCTGCGGTATCTGGCGTGGAGGCCAGAACCTGGGCAGAGGGGATGGGAAGGCTTTCATGGCCCCAAACGTTATGATAAAAAAACAAATAAATAAATAACATACTTTCCTATGACAAGATAGAGACCAAAAAAAAGTAAAAGGATAAAGTTCAGAATGTGGTGGGAAGGTCTCCTCCGTCCCCTCTCACCTTTGTTGGGCAAACCAAAGCTGCTCGCCCTGGATTTGCCCCATCACCGCGGAGTGTGGGGAGCGGGGGGGACGGCTCCACGCCTTCTTCTCAGATGGTAAAACTAAGGCCACGAATTCCGGGGTGGGGACCAAGGAGAAAAAAGAATCCGAACGGCCTCCCAAGAGGCTCCAGAAGTCACGCACAATCCTTCGAGGTTTCCCCTCTCTCCCTCAGCCATCTGCAACCAGCCGCCTTTGCTATGGAAACAGTCCTCCCGCCCCCCGCAGAGCCTCCGTTTCTTCAATGCATCCTGGAAAATGCAGTCCATCTCTGGCCACCTTCCCGCGGCAGGAGCTCACGCTGGGTCCATGAAGGACTACAAGTTCCAGAAGGCAGTGCGAAAACGCAGGCGTTCTCTGGGGATGTGGTCTTGACAGAGAGACCTAGGAACCCTCGGGCGGAGCCGAAGGGTGAGGGGAAGACGCCCCCCCCCCAATGGGCGGCCTCCTAGGCGGGGCCCGGGTCGCCATTGGCTATGGCGGCGCACAGGAGGCGGGGCCATCGGAATGAGGCGCGGAGCTGTTCTCCGCTCCAGGTGCTGAGTC